AGCAACGCCACACATCAGCTCGGCCACCGCTGGCCTGGACCCGCCACAGAGGGGACCGCAGGGCCCGTCCCACAGGAGACCTTGCTCAGCGGGAGGAGCCTGCCCTTCCCTCTTCCCCGGAGAGAGGGGCCAATGTGCTGGCTCCACGAGGGCTGGGGGGGGGGGGGGGGGCAACTGGGTGGAGGTGGCCTGGGGTGCTGGGGCCCCGTGGGGAAGTGTCAATCCAAGGATCTAGGGCATCAGGGCCAGGAACTTGGGATGGGGGGGATCCTCTCCCCAGGGGGTCCTGGCCTCTTCCAGGCATCACCTGCCCCCATTCTCGGTCCCCAGGAGTCCCCACCCCCCTCTGAAGGCTCAGTCACTTCCTTCCCTGAGCCACCGCCAAAGTGGGGAAGGGAGAGGGAGAGAGAAACATCAATGATGAGAGAGAATCATTGACCGGCTGCCTCCTGCACGCCCCCCACTGGGGATGGAGCCTGCAACCCAGGCACCTGGGAGCTGCGGGCACCCAGGAAGCTATGGGCACCCAGGAAGCTGCGGGCACCCAGCCCCCTGACTCCGAGGTCTGGGTCCCAGGGTGCTGGGACCGGAGGAGGCCCGGCTGTGTTGTCAGGCAGCGCAGCTGGGAAAGCGCCCGCCCGCTGGCTGCGGCAGGAGCACTTACGGGCAAGGAGGAGCCGATTTTCTCCATGTACTCGATTTCGTAGGCGTTCCTGTAGTCCAGCTCTGCGGGGAGATGGGGGTCAGCGCGGGACAGGGACAGGGCAGGCACAGGGACAGGGACAGACACAGGGACAGGCACAGGGACAGGGACAGGCACAGGCACAGGGCAGGCACAGGGACAGACACAGAGACAGAGACAGGCACAGGGACAGGCACAGGGACAGGGACAGGGCGGGGCCGGAGCAGGAGTACAAACTGTTCAACCAGAGGTTCCAGCCCGGACACCGGTAACCCTCCTGCTCCCCGGGCTCTGCCACGGGCGTCAGGCCCGGGTCTGACAGGACAGACCCAGCTCCGTCCACCAAGCGTTCAGACCCGAGAGGGTGCCCTCCAGGCGCTGGGTTCCTCTGAGTCCCAGGGACCCTCGGTCGTCCCCCCGAGAACTCGCTGCAGCCACAGCCGGGAGCAAGGGGAGGACAGCGAGTCCCCTGCTGTAGGAGCAGCTCTGCAGCCACCCAGCCGCCCCCAAACCACTGTGCCTCCGGGGCCGCAACGCCAACGCTCAGATCCAAAACTTTTTAAAAAACTGTTACATTTCGTCATTTTCTCTTTTGTTTCGTTAATCCTCACCTGAGGATGTTCCCCTACGGATTTTTAGAACGAGCGGAAGGAGGGGGAGACAGAGAGACACAGCGATGGACTGCCTCTCACATGGGGACGAGGGATCGAGCCTGCAACTGAAGTAGGAGCCCTTGGCCGGAATCGAACCCGGGACCCTTTAGTGCGCAGGTCAATGCTCTGTCCACGGAGCCACCCCGGCCAGGGCCCCAAAAAGACTTTGAAAGTCCAGTTCGGTGGAGAAATGACCTCGTTCGAACTGCTGAGACTTCAGGCTGCAAAGAGAACTCCAGGGGCTCTCGCTGGAGACCGGAGCCCACGCACGTCTCGGTCCCGCGGCAGCTCCACACGGAGGCCCGCTCTGCTGCTCCCCGGGCTCCCTGGCAGGCACACGCACCCTGAGCACCTACTGTGTGCCTCCCGCTGTGCTGGGCCCAGCGGACGCCCTGGCAAACGAGGCCCAAAGGGACTCTCAGCACAGAAGCCGCCACCTGCAGCAGCCAGATGGCTCTCTCCTGCTCGAAAAGGGGCTGGAGGGGACCAGGACCGGCTCAGACACCCGCTGGGCAGGAGCCTCAGGGGTGATGCCTGGAGCCCGAGGCCTCCAGCATTTTTTACGTAAAAACAGACAAAATAGCAGTTCTGGTTTAGAGCACCCGTTTCTACATATTGTTGAAGCCAACACTTAAAAACTGACTCCCTAATATGAGCTTTAGAATAAGATATTCCGGTCGGGCAGGGGTGGCTCAGTGATTGAAAGTCGACCTATGAACTGGAGGTCAGGGTTCAATTCCCGGTCAGGGCACATGCCCAGGTTGTGGGCTCGATCCCCAGTGTGGGGCGTGCAGGAGGCAGCCAGTCCATGATTCTCTCTCCTCATTGATGTTTCTATCCCTCTCCCTTCCTCTCTCTCTAATAAAAAATCAATGATCAAGCCACAACCCGGGCATGTGCCCTGACTGGGAATCGAACCCTGACCTCCTGGTGCGTAGGTGGATGCTCCGCCCCTGAGCCACGCCAGCGGGGTTTCCCGGCCTTGTGTCCCCCGGGCGGGGCCCCCGGTGGCTTACCCTCGGTGGGGGAGCTGAACTTGGTCTCGTTGACGAAGGAGGACAGGTCCGAGGGCTGCGGGAAGTCCTGCTTGTCCGCCTCCAGGTCCACCGTCATGCACGCCCACTTCTGGCTGGTGACGGCCAGCTTCTCCTCGTCCGTCGCGTGGACCACGGCCGAGATCACCGGCGGT